CTCTCGCGAGAAAATGTGTTGTAACCAGGGAGATTGAGATTAACGCTGACTTCTTTCGTTTTTAAAAAAAACTCTGCTCGAACTTGTAAGAAACGAAACATCCGCTTTTACGGAGTTTTGTGTTACTTTTGAACGGTGTTCTTACAAAACAAACGTTTCGGAGAATTTCTGTAACAAAAGTTCCACGGGAACGAGTTATTTTCGATTTTACGTTAAATCATTTTTATATTGCTCGCTGAATAATATTCATAATCTATTTGAGAATTGTTTCCTGTACTTCCGGCAGGAAAGTTTCCATTTTTATATTTTGCGACTTGTGCAATTCTTTTATTTTTGAGAACACTCATTTATCCATTATCTATAAGCTCGTCAGGGCCAACGTGAGAGTTTATAATTTTTACTCTTGATCTCCTCAGGGACAGAAAACTTTCCCTCTCGGATCAACTGTGACAACTCTCGCGCGTTTGAAATTGAAAACCTCCAGTTTTCTTTCGAATTTCAGAAATTTTCCGGTTATATGCTGAAAGTAGATTTTCACTTTAGTTGAGAAATGGCGGAAATATTTTCCATTGAAATACCGTTCGACGAAACGCCCCAATTTTCACGCTCTTTTTACTCACTCATCCCCATCGCCCTTCGCCGACAAGGAGTGACGTTGACGACATCTCGAGACATTCATCCTGTCTAACCGCAAATATCTCGAAAATTGAAATTATAATTGGAACGACGCTTAATAATAATTTTCACCCGTTGACGCCGTTTATTCGCTCGATTTCTCGTTCTCGGTCGTGTTCATATAAATTGCCGTGTGTTTGTGGAGCCGTGTACCTCCAATCGTGGAGGAACGATTGGTCGCCGAATAATTATCGATCCCGGTGCAGCCGTGCGAGCGAATTAATACCTCGGCCCCGAATCCGGGAGGGGGATTCTGTTTTACTTTAATTATAATTCAGAAATTGAAACGGCGACAGATGTCTGAAAATAGTCTCTCGCGTTCGAGATAGCGTGCAGATCGTTGACAGAGGGGCAAGTCCCGAAATGATGAATCCTTTTTGAAAAAAATTCCACGATACGTGCGAAGAGAGATTTCTTGGTCTCTCTTTTTTTTTCTTTCTTTACATTTTTGCAACTTTGTATTGATACAACCATCGCGTAATTTTCGAGTAAACTCGTATTCACGTTTTTCCCCTAGCGCGCACCGTTTGCACGTGCATTTCAGAACGTTGTTTTATGCTCGTTCCAAAACGAATCCATACGTGTTCCGTGATATTTAGGTCAGGGCCCTGTTCGTCGCGGCATTTTCAAAAAAAGAAAAAAAAAAAAAAAAAAAACACAGGGAGAAAAGAGGAGAAATTATGAAGCGAGCGGCAGAACGGCGAAAATTTTTAACGAAATGCGAGAGGCTGAAATCTCGCCAAGTGAAAGGACGAGGGAAACTCGGACGTGAACCGATTGAAAGACACGAAAGATACGATACGATGGCACAGATAAAAAGAGTAATTTTTCATTAATTCACACATTGTCGGCCGTTCTCGCGAAAATGTGAGATATTATCGTAAGAATTCTAATACACGGTTCTTGAAACTATCCAGTTTCCTGCTGATACGATACTTCTGATCGCGACAATTGTTATTTTTCGGAAGTTCCTCTCACGCTCGAAATTATAACTGATATTTATTAAATTGTCTACACAATTGTGAAAGTATGTGAAAATTTAACAAGCTAGATTTTTATCAACGAACATGGTGTAATTATTAATTGTAGCGCGAAGGATTGCCTGTTCAAATATCTAGCAATGACAAAAACGCGCGGCCGACAAAGTATTGAAAAATATAGCAGGAAACTTGCTTGCAGATTATCCAACGAACAAACGCCTTCTTCTTTTTCTTTCTCTTTTTTTTTTTTTTTTTTT